GAATAAGCTTGATCCCAAGTCAAAGAAATGCACTTTCATCGGCTATGGTGAAGATGAGTTCGGCTACCGCATTTGGGACAACGAAAACAAGAAAGTGATCAGGAGCAGAGATGTGATATTCAACGAGAAGGTGATGTACAAGGACATACACAAGACAGATGACTCAGAGAGGTGGATGCAGATGATGTCCCGAGTAACCTCTCGGAAGAACCCAATGCAGAGGGTCCTCAGCCAGAAGAGCCTGTTGGACAAGATGATGCGCAGGAGCCCGACGCACCAGCTTCGATATTAAGAAGATCTTCTCGTCCTCCTGTACCCAACAGGAGATATATGAACTATCTGTTGTTAACAGATGGTGGGGAGCCTAAAAGCTTTGATGAAGCTTGTCAGTGTGGAGATGCGAGCAAGTGGGAGCTTGCCATGAAAAATGAGATGAAGTCCCTCATCTCAAACCAGACGTGGGAACTAGCTGAGTTGCCCACGGGTAAAAAGGCACTCCACAACAAATGGGTGTACCGGGTGAAAGAGGAACAGGATGGTTCCAGAAGATATAAAGCCCGGCTAGTTGTCAAAGGTTTCTAGCAGAAGGAAGGAATTGACTACACCGATATTTTCGCTCCCGTGGTGAAGCTAAATACTATCAGGACCGTGATGAGTATTGTAGCAATTGAAGATCTTCATCTCGAGCAGTTAGACGTGAAGACGGCGTTTCTTCACGGAGATCTAGAAGAGGAGATATACATGCACCAGCCAGAAGGTTTCTCAGAAGAAAAGAAGAAGAACCTGGTGTGCAGACTCAAGAAGAGCTTGTATGGCCTGAAACAAGCCCCAAGGCAGTGGTACAGAAAGTTTGACGGCTTTATGCACAAGGAAGGTTTCCAGAAGTGCAACGCCGACCACTGTTGCTACTTCAAAAGATATCAGTCCAGCTATATCATCCTACTGCTGTATGTTGATGATATGTTGGTTGCAGGAGCAGATATGGAGGATATCAAGAGTTTGAAGCAGCAGCTGTCAAAGGAGTTTGACATGAAGGACTTGGGTCCAGCGAAGAAGATCCTTGGAATGCAAATCACGAGAGATAAGAAGAGAGGTCTCTTGCAGTTATCTCAGACGGAGTACATCAACCGTGTTTTGCAAAGATTCAACATGGGCGACGCCAAGCCTGTGAGCACACCCTTGGCTAGCCATTTTCGCTTGTCGAAGGATCAGTCTCCTCAGTCAGAAGAAGAGAAAGAGAATATGGCTCAGGTTCCTTACGCCTCAGCTATCGGAAGTTTGATGTACGCAATGGTCTGTACGAGACCAGACATTGGCCATGCAGTGGGAGTGGTCAGCCGGTTTATGTCGAATCCAGGAAAAGCTCATTGGGAAGCGGTCAAGTGGATTCTGAGATATCTACGAGGCACCACACAGAAGTGTTTGCACTTTGGTAAGGGAGAGGTAGAAGTGCAAGGGTACGTAGATGCAGACTTCGGCGGCGAAGTTGATCACCGAAGAAGCACCACCGGCTATGTATTTACCGTCGGAACTACAGCTGTTAGTTGGATGTCACGGGTACAGAAAATTGTTACCCTATCCACTACAGAAGCTGAGTACGTTGCAGTGACTGAAGCCAGTAAAGAGATGATATGGCTTCAGGGTTTGTTGACAGAGCTGAGATTCAAACAGGAGAAGAATGTTTTGCACAGTGATAGTCAGAGTGCGATACACTTGGCGAAGAATTCAACATTTTATTCTAGAACGAAGCATATTGCGCTTCGGTACCACTTTATCAGATCCCTGTTGGAAGATGACGTGTTGAAACTGGAAAAAAGATTCCAGGAAGTAAGAATCCAGCAGACATGTTAACCAAGACGGTGACAGTTCAGAAACTGGAGTTGTGCGCAACTTCAGTTGGCTTTCATGCATAGATGATGAGGGCGGAGCCACACAGGAGAGGAGCTTGTTGAGATAGCCTGCTGACGGCGGTTTGATCTCCAAGTGGGAGATTGTTGAGATCAGGTGAAGACCAAACCTTGCAGGCGAGGCGAGCTCGAAGTCGCGGCGGCTTCAGGCGAAGTCAGAGACGCGCAGGTGAGCTCGAGCAGTTGAACTCGAAATTGGCGAACGCGACCCTCGGCCTTGGGGTCTCGACCCTCGCGTTCGAACGTGCCGACCATCGCGTTTTTTGGGTCCGACCTCGGCGTCCGTCGCTCCCACCCTCGCGTTCCAGTTCGGGCCGCTGGCGACAGGCTATCGCCAGCCCATCAATCTCGCCAGCCCATCAATCTCGCCTATAAAAGCACCCCATCGCCCTAGGGTTTCTGTGCTTTTTTCCCCCTCCGATTTCTCTCTCTGGCGGCGGAGAAAACCCCAAAAACGCAGCAGCGTTCATCCCCAAATCGCAGTAGCGATTTTTGATAATCTCCAGCTCTCAATCTCATATGAGGGGAGATTAAGAATAGAGTTTAAGAGAGAGAAAATTAAAGAGAGGGGGGGGGCTTTATATAGTGGGTTGTTTATTTATTCTCAAGAGAGAATTGAAAGGGTTTATTCCCTTTAAGTATTAACACTGTAGCTACAGTGTTCTTCTGAGAGATCTTATTTTTGATCTGCTCTTAAATTGTAATTTCTTGTTTGATTAATAAGAAATTAACTGTGTGGCTCCCGATGACGTAGGCTGTTGCCGAACCTCGTTAAAACTTGGTGTACTGTTCTCTATTCTGCGTTTCTGTTGCATTAGGGATTTCGGCGTTAAATTCCTAACATGTTATCCATTTGAATCTCTAGCGGTGCAGTTATTCAAAAATTTCTACAATTATAATCTTGCCTAAATGATGGTTGATATGCTTATTACAATGCAGATCCTATATGAGCATTGTACACGTAAATATGATTAATACAAATCCTCTTAGAATGAACAATAAATACGCTTATTATAAGCTTATGCGAGCGAAAAATTCTGATTCATGCTCATCTCCGTATTAGTCGGCATGTTGGCTGTTATCATAGAATAGTCTGGTTATAAACCATTGAATTTCTACAAACAAATAACAGTGCAATTATTCAAAAATTTCTCTTCGGCCATCCATTAACTCATTTAGCTTGCTAAAAATAATCCACATACAAAAGATTCTTATTAAAATTAAAATGTTTAAGCATATAGAATTTTATATTTTGACACTATGAATTATTGCACTGTCTGAATTCTTTACTTACTAAAACAAATAACAGTGCAATTGTACATGGGACAGATTGTTGCGCTCATCATGGGACTGAACACTTTGTGTTATTATTCACAGGAAAACATACTTTACTGTCTGAATTCTTTATGGGATTTGGATCATCTCCACTACAAAAAAGTAGTGGAGAGACCACTACTTTTAATCTCAAGCATTGATTATTTAGTAGGCGGTTATAATACAATCTAAATCTAACACTTATCATACCCCCGTGTATTGCACTCATTCCTAATTTGCACTAAAAGAAAAAATCATAACCATCAACTAGATAATCAATGGCTGTGATTATGTAGTGGTCTCTCCACTATTTTTTTTTGTAGTGGAGAGGATCCGAATCCTTCTTTATGGGTACCTCACTTTACTTACTAAAATTAATTTTTGACAGATAAATACTTGGCCCTAAGTCAAATTAAGTTTATACACTAAATAAATATAACCTCCACTAGGTCTGTATGGATTGTGTACCGTAACATAATTATGGAAAGTACATCTTTTTGAAAAGTTTGATACATTCTCTTCGTACCAAACTTTTTTCCCAAGGCGTTTCCATGCATTAACAGCTTTCTTGTTTTTTCCTCGTTCGTTATAAAACCCTACATGCATAAACTTTCTTTCACCAAGAATTGCAGTCATTTCTGATTCTTTTGAGTATCTGATCTCTTCATCTCGTAGTACTCTTCACACATATAATTGCTGTTGTAAGTCTAAGCCCACTGTTGTAAGTCTAAGCCCATTTATTTTTACTTTTCCTTGTTGCATTTGCTTTTTTTTTTTTTTTTTTTTTTTTTTTTTTGAATACACTGCATGGTTGTAGTTTACCTCATGCTCTACCGCTTTTAAGGCAGGTTATTTGTTCTGATTTGTTAGCTAGGTCTGGAATTTTTGTAGGATTTTAATTTAAGTGTTATTTATTAAGAACTACGATCTAAATTTAAATTTGAGTAATTGTCCACTAAGATAGTTTGTGCTCAAGTCTTTTTTGGGCTATGATGAATTTTTTGTAATGAGATTCAAATTGTGGTAAACTGAAAATATCAAACAAATAACTGCCCCTGTTCAATTTTTGTAGAAAACTTTTAACTAGGGTCAATGATGATAAAAATAACCATAGAAATTCTTTTTTTGTTTTGGAGTACATCAAAAAAATCATGTGTTCTTCCAATATTCATTTTTTCAAATCTACACTTATTCTTTATCTTCTCACTTTTATCTCTTTTTTTTAAATTTTTTAAAGAGATGGTTATAGTCCCACCTGATATATTATAGATGTTATATTGTAAAAATTGCAATACTCAATTCTTACTGTAATCTGAAATTTTTGGTATAGTAAAAAAAGAGTCTTAAGATGAATTTTAGAGCAATCCATATTAAAATCTCTTCAAATACGTATATTTAAAGAAGGGACCCCAAACTAATTAAAGAAATATAGAATAATATATAAAATTATAATTATAAATAATTATCATAACTTCGAATGTTTAAAATCAAACTTTTGTAAATAAATATTTTTAGTCAAATAACTTGGGTTTCAAGTCTTTCTAAATAATTATCATAACTTTGAATTTTAATATCAAACTTTTAAAAGTAAATATTTTTGGGCAAATAACTTGGGTTCCAAGTCGTTACTTTTTGGGCCCTTAGCGGGTTTAATAATGAAACCCGTTAACTTCGATCCTCACCTCTTTCTCTCTCCTCCGCTTTCAGTTCCTGGTGCTTTCTCTCGAAACCCCTCTGTATATATGTAAGTCTCTTTTAATTCCTCAATTTTTCCCCCCTTTCTTTTGTTTTTCTCTCATTAGCAATCACTACTTCTCTCTATTTTCTTTTCCAACTGTTTTTGGTTTTTTTAACTATGATTTAGTGTTTAGTATGTTTTCCTATTTTCTTCAATTCACTACTGCTAGAATTTGATCTGGGTTTTATCTTTTTTTAATTTCAAAGAAATCCATTTAAAGAAGTTGGAGAAAAGAGTGAAACCTGTGTTTTTCTAGCCAGTTTGATGCTAAAAGTTGCTTCTTTTAGCAGGATTTTGTATGAAAACCCACTTGTTTGGGGTGATTAAATTGCACAAACCCATTTGATGAGAACATTAATTAAGATCGGACTTCGTGAAACCGTAGTGATGCTAAAAGTTCCTTCTTTTAGAATTTTTTTGGGAGAAACCGATTTAAAGGAGCAATTCTTTATTATTGCATTCATTAGTTTATTTGATAAAAACCTTTAAAATAAAGTTAAAGTTGTTAATGTGATGCATTTTCTAGGACTTGTTGGTGGTATTCTTTGATCACTGGCCTTTCATTATGCAATTTTTATCTTTTTCTGCACTTGCTGAGATCAGGAGTGATAAATCTGCTAAGTATTGTTATGCTTATTGTGCATATAATATGCATTAAAAGATTTTTTTTATCTCAATCTTATGTAGAATTAACCTATTTGAATAACTCAATAAAAATTTCTTCTTTTAGCAAAAATTGAAGATATCCTGTTTAAAGGGGGACTTGTCTTATTATTGTATCATGAATTTATTTCAAAGAAATCCATGTGGTGAAAGCATAAATAAAACAATATCAAATGTTGCCCATTTCAGGGGTTCTTTGTCTGCTTTTGGATATAATTCTGCAATCATCTTCTCTTTGCCATTCCTTAATATTTCACCTATTAGTATAGTTTGTTCATGTTCATACTTTGACAAAGTAAGTTTATGACGTTTAAGTTCCTGGATCTATAATCACCCTTTTTTCTAGTACTTAATATGTTATCTGTTCTTGTGGATTGTAAGAATTACATTCCTTATGTTATTTGTTGCTATAATAGATTAATATGGCTGCTGTTTGGTATCATAAGAAACAGAAGATAAGCTCTGTTTCATCTTTCATAGCCTAGCTTTACAAACACTTGACGCTAATTTTTCCCATGAAAGAATCAATTCTTTTACATGAAGACTCATTTTAGACTTGCAAGCTTTAGCTTGAAGAAACCCACTTGAGAGAAGCTAAAACCAAAAACCATACAGATGGCTAAATGATCAAGCAGGACCTTTTGATTTGAAATCTACATGTACAAATGACTAACAAAGGTATCAGTTTGGTGTTTCTCAGCGTAAGCTTTGCTGAGAGCTATCATTGAGCAATACACTATCTATGAACAGCAATCCTTTTTTCTTATTTTCTTTTCTAATTATTAAGCTTCTCCAAACTGGTTTCGAAAATGTCAGGTCTCTGGGCAAAATTTATCTCGAGGGAAAGCAAGCATAGCGTGTGAACTTCTTTCTAGTGTTTTGTACACTCGAAAATTCTTTCTTTTTTGCTTCCTTTCCACTGTTTGATTTCCCTCTTGCTCATCTTTCCAATGGAGTCATTCAATCCATCCTCTAGCTACAAATGCAGCTGCACCCCCACTGTGCCCTCCCTTGTTGATAGTTGTTTTAACTATCTCAATAGTGGAGTGCCTCATCGCATCATGTTCTATAACCAAGGAACTTGGCTTGATTTCCCCAATTCAGTGGCAAAGGTTCTCATCGATGCATTCAAGAACGAGAAATCTAGTATCAAGTTTTCTATAGGTGATGAAGCTCTCCTCTTCGATTTTCTCTCTATGTTTGTGATCAATTTGAGGACAAGGAAAAAAAGATCAGTGGCTTGGATCGATGAGAACAATAAATGCTTCTTTCCTACTATTTTTGGGCATGATGATGATGGATCCAAAGAGTGGGATTTTGAGAACACAGGTAATATGCCTGTAAGAAATGAGGATGCAAGATTGGATCGTTCTCCTCCTGAAGTGATTAAGCATGTTATTCTGAGTCCAGAGAGACCTGTAAATATAGCAGATGCTTTGAGACTAAAGCTTGAAACACTTCAAATGGGCACTGAGGGCTATATTTCTATACAAAACCGGTTTCTCTCAGGAATGGGTCCATTAGCTCAGCCTGGCAACATCAAGTTTATTCATCGGTATGTGCCTAAGGATAGTAATGGACAAAAGAGGAAAGAAACATTTGAGAGAGCGATGAAGCTCATCGAAGAAGAGCGGGGGGATGCTAATGTGCAATATGCTTGGTTTGGAGCTAAGAAATTAGAGATGGTTCGAGCTCTGATTCATGGCTTTGGCAGTTTCGGGAGGACAACTGAAGGAGTTTTTGGAACTGGCTTGTATTTGATACCAGAAGGCCGCACTTTTTCAAGGTTCCTTCTTTATTATCTTTTTATTTTTAGATGAATTATAGAAAATCCTCTTGTGTTGGTTTTTAGTCAAATAATCATCGATCTTTTTGATATAATTGTCAAAATTTTAATAGAGTAATCATACAAAGGTTTATATAGGGATGGGGTTAATTGTCATGTTTTATTACTACATTTTTTGACATACAAATTAATTTCAAAAAAGTTCATGGGGCATTTCTATTTCTCCGAATTCGACTAAATGCTAGCTAACATTATGACAAGTTAACTATTACTTCTTTGATTTTCAATAAACTAAACGCTAATCTTTTATGGCTATGTGCAGTGTGAGTATATGTGATGTTGACGAAAAAGGGATGCAATACATGATGTTGTGCCGAGTCATCTTGGGCAAAATAGAACAAATTCATCCGAGATCTAAGCAATATTGCCCTAGTTGCGGGGACTATGATTCTGGTGTGGATAGCCTTTCAAAACCAAAGTGTTATATAGTATGGCCATCACACATCAATGCTTATATTAACCCAGAGTACTTTGTGAGCTTTAAGCTGAGCCCAAATGTTCAAGGTGATCACTGTGTTAAGCAAATTTTTATTTGCTATATGCAGTTACCGACTCATTTTACTTTCCTCTTTGTTTATAGAGTACTTATCTGGACTAAAAGATATTCACTTATTTTCCTTTCCTCTTTGTTTATAGAGTACTTATCTGGGCTAAAAGATATTCGATACCATTTGGAGACATCACCAGCTGCAGATTTTTCTACTCCTTGTCCTGTAAGACATCATTGGTTTTATATTGATTTTCTTATTTATTTTGCTGTAATTTCACTGCTGAAATTTGAAATGATTTTAATTTATTATACTGATAAATTTTTTTAATATTTCATTAACAGGTAATGTCGATGCCAGTAAAGCCCCCTACATCCCCATGGGTGCCATTTAAAGAGCTGCTTGAACAAATTCGGGAGCATGTTTCTCCTTTGGTAATGGAGTTATTAGTGCATCACCATCAAGAACATAAGGTATTTATTGGCTAAGTAGCTGATTTTATATTTTGCCAAGTGTAAGTAGCTGTAGGATTTATATTTCACTTTGAACTGGTCACAGAATGGGGTAATTGATAGAGACGAACTTGTCAAAAAGGTCAAAGTGCTGATTGGCGACCAGCTGCTTCTTTCAGTACTGAACAGATTTAAGCTGGAGGTAAGTTGGTTTCCCTTAAATTGCTGAGACTTGATGAAGATTGATTTCCTTTAATCCTGAGCTTTTGTTGCTGAGACGTAATAATACATTGGTCTCGATAAGGTGATATGGAATATTGATTTGGGCATACAATCCTTATATTGGAGCATGATTATCATGGTTTAACTAAGTGGCATATTTGTCACATTGACTTTAAGATGCTCCAATAGAATTTTATGAATGCATATTAGCTTTTAAGACATGTACAGATCTTTGAAAACATAATTTTGTTGGTTTTAGTAGTTTCTGATGGGAACCTGAAACCCAGTTGAAGCATAATTCTCAATTGTATTTTCTTTCTCATATTTTTTCCATGCTAAGTGGAAGCTTGAAATCTCAAAGATTTTCCTCCCCTCAATATGCATATGCATTTCATTGCTCTCTCTCTCTCTATCTATCTATATATATATATTAGAGAGAGAGAGAGGGAGAGAGAGTAAGACTCCTATCAACTTAAGTTGATGTCCACTAAACTTCCTAGCCACTCATTTATTAATATAAAAAACCTTTTCATATCATGCAAGGATCCTTAGGTGTAATTTTTGATTAAATTAAGTTTATTTCTTCCACCTGATAATTTTAGACAATCACAACATACTAAAACTGACAAATTTCCCTGTAACAGCAACCTATTTATTACTTTTCTTTTGATTTTTCTGGCAGCCATCTGTGTGGCATGAAGCTCACCCTGCAAAGAGAAGGAAACTGAACGAATCTGCAACTCCTCATAATTCTTTGAACAATGAAAACAACAGCTCTGCTCAGCCTACGCCAGGGTCTAATGGTATTAACAGATAAAAAATGTTGAACTAGGTAATCTTTTCTCTAAAAGTATAGTATCACAATACCATTCATTTTACTTTTTTAACTTAAATGAAAACGTTGAATTTTCCTAGGTTTTCTTCTACGGGGTTACACTGGAAAATTTCATCCTTCTATGTACAGTTGTGAGATTATGGATGCTGCTTAACATGCTTGGATGCAGTAGGCTTATAACTCGTCGACTTCTCATAGTCAATGTGAACCTTTTTTTTAAAGTATTAGAAGTATTGGAAGGTCGAACATGCGTTTATTGTGTTTTTTCTGTGGCGATTTTGTCTTGTTTTACTAAACTGATAGTGGCGAAAGCATGGAACCTTTTTATGTGGGCTGATGTACTCTTGGTGGATGAATATATCATATGAATGAAACCTTTTTCTAGTTTGTGCAACTACTGACCGTTTTCATTCTGAAATCTTCTATCATGGTTATGTATTATCGTTGCTCACCCTTGCAAAGTTCTCTAGATTTCAATAAATTGTCCGCCCCCGAAAGAGAGGAGAAGGGACGATGTGTATGAAACTTTGTAGTTGATTTGTTTCGAAACTTTTGAGCATCTACTGCTGAATTATCCACTGGATCATCTCTACCTGCAAACGTACCTGTTTATTAACTCATTTCAGGATGAGTTAGGATTGATATGTTCACAATTTGCGCTCTGTCGCTAACTCAGCGTGAAACCCTGGCATATAACTATTTGATCCCAGATGTGAGCCAAAGTGACCAATCTTGTTCCTAAATGATGGGCAAGTTGACACAATCCCTTGTAACAAGCAAAAGCTACGTAAATGAGACTAATTGATGAAAATAGTAGGTAGAACGCTGCAATGTGCAATTTGTAAACAGCAGTTACACTTGCAACTGCTATTTATTTTACTACAGCTGCAGTTCAAAAATGAGTATTTTACAAGTACAGCAAATTTTTACACTACTTACAAGAATATAAAAGATAGGGTTTTTGAGAAGTTGGTCCCCAGATATCATCAGTTTAGATACAAGTCTCCCACAAATCAACATATTTGGGTACAAGTCCCCCTAATCTCGTCTATTTGGATGTAAATCCCCTAAATCATCATATTTGAATACAAGCTCCTCAAAAGTATGAAGTTCTTTGAAACAAGTACCCATGATTAATTCCCGCGCACTTAACCCACTAAACTAACAAGTTATTTAGAAATTAACTCTAAATTAGAGGGATTTACGAAAGTTCGGCAAGATAGGGTTGGTTTCCAATGGGTTCAAAGGATACATGGACTTAAGTTTTGACTTTGCAAGAGGGGTAGTGTGAAAACAAGGACAAAAATGAAACAAGAAAATTAGCAATCCCAATAATTAAGTTGTGACAAGCGGATGATAATTTATCATGGGCACTTGTTTCAAAGAACTTAATAGTTTCGAGAACTTAATAATTTTAGGGGGCACTTGTCTCCAAATATGATAATTTGGGGTGTTGTTATCCAAATACATGAGATGAAGGGGGACCTATTACGGGGACTTAAATCGAAAAATGATGATTTAGGGAACTTGTATTCAAATTGATGATATCCGGGGGACGAATATCTCAAAAACCCTAAAAGATAGCAACTGCAACCACAAATCACAAATCACAAATGTTTTCTTACAAACTACAACTACAGTTTCAGTTGTAAACCCATGCCAACCAAATATCATAACAGCAAAAAAAAAATTGATCGTTGTCCGATGGTTGCTTCCAACAGATAATAGATCAAAGACAACAGATACCCATAAAATGAAAATTGGCATCTATTATAAACAGATACCCATAAAATGAGAATTTTCCTGTCAACACAAAGCAAGTAGTAAGTGCAAAATGGCCCTCGTACACATCCAATGGAGAATTGCAGTCGATATACTAGTGACTGGACTTTTCACGCTCTCATTCTGCAATTTTACATGCGTTCTTATTCATCAGGATATACAAAAGGAAAATGCTACACTGAACTGGATGTCCTTTTACAGGATACATATAACAACCGAAGTTCCACCAAACAGCAACATGTCTTTTCCATTTAATGTACATAAAAAGAACAAAGTGGAGGGGAGAGATGCATTTCTAAAGAGCCGAAGATACAATAAGCAGAAGCTTCGGCTAATTAGATTCGCCCACAGAAGATTTCAAGGATGCATCTTGATGGGATCGACGAGAAGAAGAATATGCTGATAGTGCAGAACTTGTTATGCTCAGCGATTGCTTGGTGAGGTCCATGCTTTTCTTGGCAGCAAACCAAACTACCCAAAAGAATCCCACCCACCCTGCAACAAAAGAGTCAAATTGGAATTATCATTCGACAATTCAATCCAAAGAACTGAAGTATGTATGCAACATGAAATGTATACCGCCTGAAACAAATAGCTCCTCTAAATTTTCTCTTGGACTGTAGTTGATTTGCGTTCACTATTTTTAAGTGATGGATCAATTCGACACTTGCGAATAGAAAACTTCCTTTACATAAAACATGGAAAGTTATGGAAAATCCTAAATTGATGATATGGCAACCCATGCTTTCAAGCAATGATCTCATCAAAAGAGACTATAATTTTCCTGCTACAGATTCCAGAAAAGTACCGCATTTTCTGATCTAACATTGACAAGAAGAAAAACTGTCGCGACTCACCAGTAGCTACTATTACAGCAATGGTCGCAGAGATAGTTGTGACAGAAATGGTAAATATCGCGACTGATAACGCTGCAATATAGATTGCTGTTAAGCATGCAAAGAAAAGTGCTAAAAATCCTCCAGCAGCTGCCAAGGACATCAAAGCAGAGATGATGATAGCATTGAGTGTTGCTATCAAAAAGAACACAGTAAAAACCAGCAATCCTGTCAAAGCCAAAAGCGCAATCGTCCCAACCTGTCATTAACATCAAAAGAAATCAGAAGCGAGCAATCTGTGCAATAAGAAATAAGTTCCCTACTGAGCAAGTATAATCAAATATCTTCCTCCATGAGCATAAGATGCAGTTTTACATGGAAAATCAAAGCTTGAAACAGAATTTCTTTCTTCTTCCTCAGAGACAACGTATTATCCCAAAGTTTATTGCCAGTAAGAATAAGTAATCTTAACAGACATTAGAATGCATGAAGGTGGTGAAGGGATGAGAGTTTGTATAGGGCCTTCTACTTCTATGCAAGGCAAATGGTCGAGCCACAACTTCATTAACCGTGAAGCACCCTCATATATTCACATTACCTCACATCTTCTTCAATCTAGCTCTCAAGATTTGAGAACAAGCTCATGTTGTTCTTTGCAAATGAACTAGCTTAAGACATAATTGAAATTGATAAGTTAAGAAGCACAATGTGAAACCTTCGGCGGTACTTGCAAGATTGTTGTCCAAGACTAACAACCTCAAACTTATCTTCAATAATCTCTGATCCAACTTATCTCCAAGATTGTACACAGAGACTGCAGTCTAGTTGAATCCATTAATTCCTACTTATCAAAATATAGCTAGTATGAACTTCAATTCAACATCTCACTACGATCAACGTTTCGTCACATCCTAGTCCCTATATCAATTATGAATATACTAAAATGAGTTGAACTATGCTACTATTAATAGCATAAAACAAGGATACCATCAATCCAAATAAAAAAATGTGGATTTTCATCTGAAAATTTATACCATTCGATGTGATGCGATGCACGTGACATGGACTACCTAGAAACAAAATTTTCTATCATTTTTTTATGTAGTCTAATCATGTATATCAAGGAGCGAAAAATTCAGCAACTTCACGAAATTTCTGAAAATACTATTTTGACAACATATGACGCATAAGTAAAACATGCTGAGATCCTTCGAATTTTATTTCTATGTACTTTATGTGCATTATTAGATCGAATCTAAATCGATATAATAAATATTTATTAAATTCCCAAGATAAGTTGAACAATTCATTCAAGATTCAAACTTTATTGATTCTAACTGATGCACCGCTCACCGAGATAACAAACAGAGCACGAAGTGGACTCCCCTCTCGAGTCCACCGAAGTAAATCATTGGCGGAGTTTCTAGAAGCTTCTCGAAGGTAAGGCGCCTGCTCTTCAAACGATCTCTTCACCCTCTTCAGCACCGGCGGCGGGGGGGAATCGCCGCCGTCGGAGGAGAAGACCCCGGCGACGAAGCCACGTAGGGCTCCGTACAGAGTCCTGCGATCCTTGCGCTCGATCTCGATCGGGCGGCTGACGTCGAGCGATGCGTCGATCTCCACCATCCCTTCTCTGCCTCTTCAGCGTGGTTGTTGAGTGAGAGTGAGGAGAGAAAGGGAGAGAGGAAAGTAGACCAGTTTAAGGACTGAGATTGAGACACGTGGCGTGATTTTTTGGGGGAGGGGATGACACGTTGTAGAGGGGAAGAATGGAGAAAGTTTCGTTGCTCTAACGGTGTCGATTGTAAAGAGGCCTTTTACTTGCGGGCCGGTTTGGAGCGGCTCGCTTGCTGCGGCCCAAATATAGGTTGAGAAGTTGATTACTATGCTTCGCTGGATGAAAAGCTGTAATTCTAATTTGACAATTGGGCCGTCTTCTTGCCACGGGCTCTCAACGTTGGGTAGAGATAACAATTGGGCCGTTGCTTTTGGTATTGTATATTTCGGGCCGTGGTACGGGCATATAAGGGGTGACCCAATCCTGGATCACAGCGCATTGAAGTTGAGATGCGGTAGAAATGTTATCAGAACCGTCTCTGTAAGACCGTACAGTGACATCGCATACCTCATAGAACTGTGAGTAAACGGCATAGATCATTCAAAAAAAATTTTTTTCTGTGTGGTGTTTTCAAAGAATATTTCCTCCTCGATGGGCTTGACATTTTACTAACCCAACCCAGCTGGCAACAAGTATATTTAGTATTGCTTTTAATTTCCTTTTATAAATTATAATGGCAAACGTGAACAAATCTAGAGATCTGTAGTCTAAGTTGGAGATTGATGAAATTCTTGCTTTTTGATTTTTTGAAATCTATGTTGCTTTGTCCGGTTTTTTAAATAAGGGACGGTGCTCAAATGGCTCAAATGGTGACTGATGCAGTGCTGGTGTTTGCAGAACGTGATGGAGATGGCAGCCTTATTTCATCTTAAAATCCTTTTGCCGGTTGCTGCTGCTTCTTTTGTTTTTTTGTTTGCTTGACCTTTTTTTTTTTTGGAGTTTTGAGAATTTCTTGTCTTTGTTGCGTGTTGATAGGGCTGCTGTTGGTTCTTTTGTTTACGGGTTTGAGACTTTGCTTTTTTCAGTTGTATGTTGATAAGAGTGACTCTGTTCAAGGGTGTTGCGCGCAGCGGAAATTTCGACAGCACTTCGGCAGCACAACAAGAGTTAGGTCGCAATAAGAATTCAAATTTCGACAGCACTTCGGCAGCACAACAAGAGTTAGGTCGCAATAAGAATTCTTGTTTCTCAAAGGGAACAAGAATCTGAAGCCTAATATCCCATCAAAGTGGGATATTTGCTCTTCCTCTCGCCAGCTCTAGGACTGCGCGTTGAGTGAATCTAAAAAGCTATTACAAATCACACAAAAGCAGTACAACCAATTTTTACGTGGTTCGGCAAATTGCCTACATCCACGGGGCAAGGAGGGGGAGATCTACTACTAGAGGAAGAGAATACAAATAGGGTTTACAATCACTCAATCTAAACCCTCACACAATCTCTCAAATCCCTCACACAAATATCTCTCTGAAAATAACTGCACAAAATCTTCACAAAAGGCGGCTGACTTTTCTCCTTGCACAGCAATTTTCTTCTCTGCCTTTGCACGCGATTTTCTCCTGTAGCCGCCAAACGAATTCGCGCACATGCAGCCTTGCTCTCACGCACCTGTAGCCGCAAGACTATTCCCTCTGCCTTCCTTCGTACAAAAAACCCTAAAATCAAACAAGTTAATATATATTGTGATTTGATTTCGGGATTTCGGGTGGGCTTTGATGTTCACGCTCTCCGCTCCGCGTAAACTTCCGCGTGAGCTTCAATCACGTGGTAGTGGCCACGTGCTTCACAATTCTCCACCTCGGTGAAGTTTTTCCCAAAACTGAGCCGACACCAGAGCAACCAAATGTCCCACTTGTTGTGTCCAGTACGAACGCAACCCACAACAAGTTGAGAACCCGAACGAGAGTCCAAACAATCTCACCCCCATCAAAATCAACTAATCCAAACCGGCTGCATCTCAAAGAATGCCTACGTATCCTCTTGCCCAAGGAATCAAGCCGAACGTAGTTCACCCAAATGGCCGCCAACGGCCTCAACAATCACGAATATGCAACAAGTTTCGACAATGATCAAACTTGTTGCTCGGAACCACCTTAGTAAGCATATCTGCCGGATTATCCTTCGTGTGGACTTTCACAATCTCCACATCACCATCTTCAAGAACATCCCGAACGAAGTGATAACGAACGTCAATGTACTTCGTCCGCGCATGAAAAACCTGATTCTTCGCCAAATAGATAGCACTCATGCTATCACAATGAATAGTGACGGACCTCTGCGATATACCAAGTTCCTCCAAAAGTCCTCGAAGCCAAATAGCCTCCTTTACAGCCTCCGTAACTGCCATATACTCTGCCTCCGTCGTAGACAAAGCCACCGTCGACTGTAAGGTGCTTCTCCAACACACCGGCGCACGGGTCAAAGTGAACACATACCCCGTCGTAGACCGGCGCTTATCCAAATCCCCGGCATAATCCGAATCAACATAGCCAATGCATAGCTGCCCACCTGTAGTGTCCCGCTCATAAACCAAACCAACATTGAGCGTACCTCGAATGTACCTCAAAATCCATTTCACGGCGTCCCAATGACCCACTCCTGGATCATGCATGTATCTCGAAACCATGCTTACCGCCTGTGACAAATCCGGTCTCGTACATATCATCGCGTACATCAAGCTCCCAACCGCGCTCGCATATGGAGTCTTCGACATCAACTCACGATCTTCAACTGACTTCGGTGAAAGACCAGCTGAAAGCTTCAAATGGGCTCCCAATGGTACACTAACTGGCTTCGTATCCATGCTAACATGGAATCGCTGTAGAACCTTCTTCAAATAAGCCACCTGTGTCAAACAAATTCTGCCCTTCTTCTTGTCTCTGCCGATCTCCATCCCTAAAATGCGCTTCGCCTCGCCCAAGTCCTTCATCTCAAACTCATTTGAAAGCTGAACTTTCAACTCATCTATAGCCGACCTGGAAATAGAGGCAACCAACATGTCATCGACATAGAGCAACAAATAAATGTACGCACCTCCTTTCAACTTGCGAAAATATACCCAAGGATCAAACTGGCTCCGAGTGTACGAATGACCAATCATAAAACCATTGAATCGCCTATACCACTGTCGAGGAGACTGCTTCAAACCATATAGTGATTTCTTCAGTTTGCAAACTAATTTTTCCTTCCCTGCAGCTTGGAATCCCAATGGCTGAGTCATATATATTTCTTCATCAAGATCACCATGAAAAAATGCCGTTTTCACATCCAACTGATCTAATTCCAAACCATACTGTACCACCAAAGCTAGCAGAATCCGAATCGAAGAGTGCTTCACCACCGGAGAGAAAACCTCATTATAGTCAATACTTTCCTCCTGTGCATAGCCCTTCGCAACCAACATAGCTTTGAACCTCAATGGAGTGCCCTCAATGCCCTCCTTCTTCGTGTATACCCCCTTGCAACCAATTACCTTCCGCCCCTTTGGAAGCTCAACAAGCTCCCATGTATCGTTCTTATGAAGAGATTCCATCTCCTCCTGCATAGCCACCTGCCACAAATCAGCCTCCAAACTCTGCTCGGCCTCTCTGAATGTAGTAGGCACCAACTCATCGATACTCTCCACCGAAAATGCATACGTAACTGTGTCGGCATACCGTGCTGGCATCTGTATGTTTCTCCTCTGTCTCCGACCCGCAATAGAATCCTGAACCTGAGCCGTCGGTTCCTGATCCTGCACATTTGTACTCGTATCCTCCGTGTCACCGTCGTGCTCGTCTGGCGTCACCTCAGTCGGCACCTGTATGGATACTTTCTAACATGATAATATGCAGGGCACCCGAATACCTTGAGCTGGTCATAGTCATGTGCTGGCTTTCCCGACCACATCTCCATAGGGGTTTTCCCCTCAATCGCAGATGAAGGCAGCCTATTAATGAGGTGGCTCGCATATGTAAGTGCCTCAGCCCAAAAGATCTTTTCCAAACCACTCTGCGACAATAAGCATCGGATCTTCTCCAGTAAAGACCGATTCAACCTCTCTGCCACCCCATTTTGCTGCGGTGTATGACTAACTGTGAAGTGTCTCTCTATGCCCTCGTCTCGACATAGCTGCTGAAAGGGGTCAGAAGTATACTCACTACCGTTGTCAGATCGCAACGTCTTGATCTTTCTCCCAGTCTGCAGTTCTAATCTTTTCTTCCACTCCACAAACAAATCTAGGACTTCACTCTTCTTCGTCATGGTGTACACCCAACAACGCCTAGAATAGTCATCTACAAAAGTGACGAACCAATGTCGACCACCAAGTGATGCAGTCTTGGTGGGACCCCAAACGTCTGTGTGCACGTAATCCAGGATGCCCCTCGTCTGATGAATGGCAGTCCCGAACTTCACCTTCGTCTTCTTGCCAAGAACACAGTGCTCACAGAACTCAATCTTCCCACTCTTGGCTCCCTTCAATAGCCCCTGCTTGCACAATGCCTGCAGTGACTTTTCACCTGTGTGCCCCAATCTATAGTGCCAAAGTCTGCTCATGTCCGCTTCTGAAATAGCCGAAGCAACCTGGCCAATCTCGGTGCTTCCCTTCAGATAATACAAATTCCGATTGCGGACTCCCCTCATCACCACCAATGATCCCTTAGTAACCTTCGCTACAGCGTTTTCGAAAGTCACCTTGAATCCCTTCGCCTCCAAAGCTCCAACTGAGATAAGATTTTTCTTCAGTTGAGGAACAAATCTCACCTCCTTCAACTCACGGACTACTCCATCGTGCATCCTAATCCGCACGGTACCTATCCCACAAACGCCACAGGATTGATCATTTCCCATGACAACAACACCCCCTCGACTTTCTCAAAAGATGCAAACCAGTCTCGCCTAGGGGTCAAATGAAAAGTAGCGCCGAAATCAAGCATCCAATCTGATGCATCCACATGGTTCACCTCCGGAGTAATCAGTAGAGAAAAGCACGAATGATCGGAATCATCGCCTTTCGCAATATTCACCTCATTGGCCTTCGGGCCCTTTTTCTTGCCATTCTCTTTCTCCTTGAGCTTCGGGCAGTCTCTCTTCCAATGTCCCTGCTCCTTGCAGAATGCACATTGGTTCTTTGTTAATTGGTGGCG